TGGTTGCAGCTCGCACTGCGTCAGCCGTGCTCCACACCCCGCGCCGTCAGCTGACCGGCCTCCTGCAGCACCAGTGCAGTGCAGACTGCAGGCGCTGCGGGGGAGCCCATGTTTCCCATCCTGGGCTGCAGGTTTCTTCTCTTGCAGCTGTCCTCCTGGTATGCATAATTGATAATCACAGCTGGAGGGCAGAGCGTCTGTGGAGAGATGGACAGTCAGCCGAGCGGTTGGAAGGATAAGGGTATTTGTTCTTTCACCTTTTTTCTCCTTTTTTTTTTAAAAAAAAAAGCTAAAGATGCTGTGGGTTGTTTTTAGCAAATGGTGTTTGTAGCATGTATTTGATGGTGAAATGTATCTGAAGATGTAAGATCTATTTGTACCGTAAGTGAAGTGGTAAAAGGTGGAGGTTAAACTGGATAAATATGAGCGATGCAGAAGAATAAATTATTTATGTCAGTGAAATAGCTTGTGTGGCACTGCAGATCTTTTTCAGTCTTACAGAGCATATTAAAGAACAGCTTGTTTTGGTATGCACTGCACAAATACCAGTATAGTCCAAATTCAGTTGATGTTCCTTTAAAATTCCTAGATTAATAATCTAACGATACTAAGCATTAACTCAAAAAAATGTAGTGTCTGCAGTTTATGTAGTTTAACAATCTTGTGAGGAGAAATCGCATGCAGCCTACAGCAGGGTGGTGTGTCTTTTTTTTTTTTCCTTCTGTTTGGCACAGCATGTTTGGATTCTACCCTTAATCACGTTTGCTTTGGATTTTTCATAATTCTGTTGGATTCTAGGTAGAACCGTGTCTGATTTTTTCAGAATTTACAGCCATCATATCAAATTGTTTTATGTAAATAAGTAGCTAACCTTAAATTAGGGTGGTTCTGACCTTTGTTCCTGTAACCACCAATGGGAGATCACCAGTGTAAATCTCTGTGGATCATTAGTGCTCAGTGTGTAAGAGTTTAAGCCTTACTTGAATACGTAATCATCAAACTTTTATCAACAAGACAAGCTTTAAAAAAATTTTAATCATCTCTGGATACTTCAATATCTTCTTAAAGGGCCCTGTCGTGCTTGGTGATTGTACTTGTAAAGTTTTCCTTTTTTTTTTTGTAACTGTTGTGCAATATCTGTGATTTTTCCACTTGGACAAAATGGCCAGCTGTCTAGAATCCGTAGAATATCAGAACCTAAATATGTGGCAAAAAAGCCCTGCAGGGGACGGAGCTTTGCCCCTGCAAAATAAGTTCGTAGTAGTTCTAATCTTTAATGGAAGGGCTGCAAAATACTAGGAAAAAATATTCTGCAGTGTTTAGTAGTACGTTCTTGATATGTAAGTGGTTTAAATGTTCAGCACTCTATATGTCAGGCCTGAAATTCTTGGGGTTGGAAAAAAAGAAAACAAGAAAAAGAGGGAAAGAAAAAGGGGTGAGATCAGGAGGTTTTTGTAAGAATTGAAAGGCAAGTTACCTTTGGGTATTCAGGCCCAATTTTCAGGTTTTCCTTTATAACCCAAGTCGGTGGTGGTCTGTCCCTCGCAGTCACTGAAAGCAGCCATTTCTGAGCCTAGAGTTTGAGGCCTTGGGGATAATGGCGTCTGTCTTGGTTTAGAAGTAATGGCTTGCCCATCAGGAGCCACACCTGTGTGGCACACTGGGGGAATAGGCTAACCAGTGCAAGCTGTGCTGTTACAGCTGCGTGGAGGCCAGTGATGTGGGGTTCTTTGCAAAATGCAGACGTGACTAGCGTGTAATGGAACTGTCATCAAATGAACAAGCAAACCTGAACCTGTCGTACGCGCATATTTTGTGCTGGTATAACTGCTTCAAGCAGTGTTTTAAATTCTTCTCCCCCCCCCCCACCCCCCCCCCCTTTTGTTTTTACATAGTGGTATCCCTTTAGGTGGAGGAAGCTGGTTTCGTGCCTGTTTCTCCCTCCAGGGAAGTCCCTGCTGCCTTGAGGTTTAATTATAATTTAACTTGTAGAGATAAAGTCTAAAAGAAAATGGAAGCAGAGTAAGAAGGTGGTTTTCTGGGGAAGCAGAAGAGTCTGGTTCCTCTCCTTTTGCAACTGATCTTGAAGCCTGGGTTAGTGTGGTTTCTGATAGCATTTGTTTATAATGAGATGAAGATGCCTTGTTTCATGTGATCTTCCTTCATTAGGTCAGGCTCCAGTGGCATAGAAAATGACGGTTAGAGTTCAGGGACTGATTACACACTGTTCATCTCGCCCCAAAATAAATATAGAAGCAAATATTGCAACATGCTTCTTTCCATGCTAAAAAATAGCCTTAAAAAAAAAAAATCAAATCTAAAACCAGAGAAGAGCCAAAAGTATGGTTCATAGTTAGACCTCCCAGCTAAAGCACTACTTTATAATTAATAGGATCCTAAACATCATTTTGGTATCTGTGTTTCTTGTGCTACAGCCATAGTAGTTACCCAGCATAGTGAACATAGTACAATCTGTGGTATTGATCATCTAGATAGGCAGGATGAAACAGGTTTACCCTGGGGATCGCACGACTTCTATATTTAGCACTTCTAAAGACAGGCTCCCATGGAGTGATTGGTACTAAAATGTAACATTTATTTACTTAATTTTCAATTGTTTCAATGAATTGTCGGGTTTTAATGAGTGAATCATGCTAATGGTAGGATGAACACCACAGCTATACTCCCAGGCTGTCCCCAGATAATTGTTTTTTTATTAATGTGCTGAAAATCAATCTGAATTCTGGTTCAGATTAATTAAATGGTGGAAAAGGTTGCATAGGCTTGTGCGGCTGTTGAGCTTTTTAAATTTTTTATTGTGAGTAATTGGGGCTTTGGAATGAATGATTTTCCCAGTTCATACATCGTGCACACATGCACCAGTATATGATTCAGTAGAAATGAAATAAAAATACTGCTTTGGCTCGTTAATAATTGTTAGATAGTATTTGCATTGGGGGGGATGACGACTTAGTTTTCATTGTAGCATGTACTTTGTGAAATCTGTGTCACTTTTTCTTGCTAGGGATTGTGGGGCAGATGTGCCAGGTTTGAAATGTGTGTGATGCAGACTTGTTTTCTGGCCTTTGGGATCCAGTTAGATGAGCTTGTCAGTCCCAGTGGATGTGCTGCTCCTTTGTAATGATTGTCCTTAGGACAGGGAGAGCTCTGTTGGTTAAGTCAGCTCCACGTGCTTGGCCCCACGTGCCGTTGTGCTACATCTACCCCGTTTCACCAGTGTGAGATTGTTTTGTTGTTACTGGCTTACAGCAAGGCAGTTAAGGACCAAACTGGCTTCCAACACCTCTGATCAGGGTAAAAGGAGGCTTGAATTTTGTGGCCCAGTCTGTAACTGCTTCGGATGCTAACTGTGATTTTTAAATGGTTGTTCTGGTGACAGAAATCTTGAAAATTTCGAACTCCAGCCTACGAATGGTGTTTGTGCTTGGCAGACGTTGACCACTTGATGAGTTGGTGGCTTTTCTGTGGGGTTGGTACATCTCCAGCTGAGGCTGCAGGCTTGACCAGGCTTTGAAAGTGAAACTGCAGGGTCAGATCTTGCCTGCTCAATACTCTGCATAAAAGATCAGTGGAAGCCCTGAAGATCACTGTCAGGTGTAAGTGTGAGATTTAGTTAGCATAACTGGAAAATGCCTCTCTAAACAGAAATGAACAGCCATTTGCCTGTTTGTGGTCATGTACTGTTTTTTGCCGGTCTAGGGTTAATTTTCTTTGTGGCAGCTTGTATGGTGCTATGGTGACAGTTGTCACGGTGCACTTCAGATGCATTTGAAAGCTGCCCCTTCTCAACACTTCTGTTACATTTCTGTGTTAGTACAAGGCTGGCTGTTCTTAAATTGACCCAGAAAAGGCTCTCACTTGTGCTTCTGCACTATTTTTACTATTATCTGAAGAATATACAGAATTTCTGCTTACCTTTCAGATTACAGAAAGGCTCTAGTGTAATGGCCGTGGTCCATACAATGTTTGTAAATCGTACACTGTTTGCCTTTTTTTAACCTTCCTTCTCCCTTTACACAAACAGCCTTTCTTTGGCGCTGAGACCCTTTTTGTGTTCGTGGCTCAATGCTGGATAGAGAGCAGTTGTTCATTGTGAAGGCGACTCTCGCTCCGCAGCTGCGTTCCAAGGACTTAGGGCAGGGGC